GGGGGGGGGAAGTCAATAGATTTTGACCATGTCTATCTGTGCATATGACGGAGCTTGGATCTGCAAATCTCAATTCTGCGTCTTCTGGCTGCAGCTGCCAAAGCCCTGTTCATATCAGACATCGCCTCCGCCGGAATTAGGTTCAGATCCGGGATGCCGCCAGACAACACCACCTTATCGTTCCCGCTCGCTCCCGCCGGAAAAAACGACAGCGTTTCACCATTTTCAACACTCTTCTTAGCACTTATCACCTGTACAGTGGTAACACACAATTAATTAATAAATAAATTAATTAATCCATTCGTTTAATTTAATTAATTACTAACAACAAATAAATTAATAAATAAATACCTCTTCTTCCTTCCTCTTCAACAGTAAATTTAGCGCCTTTTGCTCCTCGCAGTATTTCTTAACCGTCTCCACTTCCTGTTTTTTTTTTTTAAATAAAATTATAATCAATACACTGTTTAGGAATATAAAGAAAAAAAAAAAAGATAATGCAGCCCAAGAAATAGACAAAAAATACTCACCCTTAGAAACAATTCCCTGCGGTGAGTTAACTTCTCCACCAGCTCCAACAATTCCTGTCTCTTCTGTCAAATACCAAACATATGAATCACCAAATTCAACACAACAAACGCAGAATTCAGAAAATCAAACAAGAAGACACTCACCCTTTTCAGAGAAACCTTCTTCTTTGGCTTCTTGGACTTGTCCTCACATTCGCTGGGCGGGAACGAGAGGGGCGTTATAGGGCTAGTTCTATCCACCTCGTTCTTGGCGCCATCTGCGGCCACAGGAACAGAGACCGGTTGGACGGCCGGCTGCTGTGACGATGATGTCGGCGGTGGGGGGAGAGAAGCGCTGTCGCAGGAAGATCTCTTCTTCCTGGCTCCCCAGGTGAGTAAAGGGCGTAAGCGGCGGGACTCAGATTCGGCGATGAGGCGGGGAAGTTCCAACAAGATTGAAGCCACGTCAATCTCCTCCTTACTGAAGGAACTGACGAAGTCGGTATCGCTTATTAGTTCCATTATGGTTCTTTCTTTGAATTCGTTCATCTATTTCTCTCAACGCTCTTTCTTCGGGTTCAATCAGAGAGAAATCGCAGACAACGAAGAGTAAGGAAAAGGATTTGGATGAGAGAGAGAGAGAGAGAGAGAGAGAGAGAGAGAGAGAGAGTGTGTTTGTATTCTTCGTTACAGCGGGGGTTCGCTTATAAAAAAATATGATTATATCATTATGGAAAGGAAAAAGGAAGTGGTGACACGTGTCGGTTTTGATCTGTGGGTGTTTAGGGTTTATGCTGTTTGTTTGATGGGGTTGGCGAGTATACTCGCAGGGTGGGTCACTGCTGCTTTACAAAATCCACTGGATTTATATTTTCCTTTTTAACTCCGTTTAGGAGATTACAATTCACGCGTTTCTTTAAATAGGAATATGCAATTGCTGCTGCATTTATTAAGGAAATTTAGTTTTTTTTTTTTAAAAAAAAGGAATTTTTGGCTGTTTGTCTAAATACATAGATATATTTTATAATAATGCACTGGACAATTTATAATGTAAGTGGTATTTCAAAAAATTAAAAATATTTTAATAAACAACAATAGTATATATCTAGTAAATAAATTTAAAATTTTATTATTATTTATTGTTTTATATAAAAAAACAAAAAAAAAAATTGGAATGAGAGAGCAATAGAGGGAGTTAACGGAATTCTCCACTCAGAGTGTGACACGTCTTGCGTAAACAGAGTGTCGATTGAGTTCTAATTTCCTTTTTAACTCCACTTAGGGAGATATTCACGCGCTCGCTTGGAGCGTTGATTCAATCGCTGCTCCGCTTAATTAGTTAACATTGGCAACTTTTTTTTTATTTATTAATTTTACCTCGTGTAATTTTTTTACCGCCCACCTGTTGACTTTGACCCCAAGTCTTTTCAAACAATTTAATTTGATCATCATCAACCTGATCATCCTAAAACATTTTTTAATTTTTGCCATCGTAAGTAATTCGTTCATTCGTGGAGTCTCAGACGAGTTGGACGACGTCGTATCGGTCATGGTGGTGGTCAGCCGGCGGTGACAGCAGGGGTCGGTGTCGTGGAGAACGTGCATGGATGGGGAAGCTCTCACCTTCTCTTTGGACGACGGTAAAATGTGATTTATTAATGTAAAAAATTAGTAATGAAATGATAAAATTATATTTTTTATAATAAATTTATTTTTTAATATTTTTTTTATAAAAAATTCAATAAAAACTACAGTTTAAATAATTTTTGAAATTAAGTAATTTAATTATAATTTAAATAATTTTTTTTTTAATATTATATGCATTAAGATATAAATAATATGATAATTTGACTTAATATACAACCATATCAATTTATCAATTTAAATAAAACAGTTATTATTATCATACATTTAAAATACCGTATTCTTAAACATATAATAATCTATCAGTTATCATACTATACATTTATCATACATTATCTTATATTAATTAATTATTACAAAAATTATCTTAAACTGATCCGCAGAAGAAAGTATTGTTGGTCTCACCTGATGGCCGAGGTTATATAAAGGTTAAATTACTACCTTTACGAGAGAGAGAGAGAGATATATATATATAAATACACACGCACATACACAAACATATATATATATATATATATATATACTCTGAAAACATTTTCTTCAAACCATTTGGACCATTTTGTATATTTTTAATGACTGACCAGCACTATATTGGTAATGTAAATTCTTCTGCTATTAAATCATGATACCTGTAGTTTAGTTGTTCTCGTGCAATCCTTTTTTTAATGCAATAACTTTTCGAATTATTTATTACTATTGGTTTGTTTTCAACTAATACGTGTGTGTATATATATATATTTACATATATGTATGTATATATATATATTTGAAAAGTTACTATCAATTTTTTCTTGTAATAATAAATTAACAATAAATTTGGTCTTTTCTTGCAATACTTTATTAGAAAGAATGACACTTCCTACTTAATTTTATTGAATAAACTTTAATAATTATTCAAAGTTCAACCTTATTATTTATAATATTTATGTTCGATTACAACCTTATTCGTGATAATTGTTTTTAAAAATCAAAATTTTTTAATAAAAAATTCAATTGAAAACTTTAGTACTTTGAAAATAAAATCATTCACCTTTCGACTAGATTTATGATCATATTATATGTGATATAATTATATAACAAATTTAACTCCTATTATAGATGACATAACGATGCTTGCAAGTGTAGCATAAATTAAATTATTTACGGTCCATGTATAGTCTAACAAATCGTGGGTATAAAATATACACATTTAACCAATTTCAAATATCTATAAAATAGTAACCCTTAGTTCTAGTTTGCGTTCCAAATCTTCTAGAATTTTTTTAATATATGTATTTTTGAGAAATTTCGAATCTCTACATATTTTTATTAAATGTCGTATAAAACTTTATTTGTATATATATTTTTTAAATTAAGAGTTTGAAAATACTTAATCCCATACAATAATTTCAAAACATTAGCTCACAAGCGATCTATATTTACTAGAAAAGAAGCTTTTTAATCCTTATAGTGTATATAATGATTAGTGATATTCTCTTTAAAACTATATGAAGAAAGCATAATGTGTAACCTGTTTGAGCCTTATATAGATTTTTTTTTTTTCGTTTGCGTTGACCTCTGAAATCTTTCTTTTTTCAAGAATTTTTAAATCAAAATCTTCTTTGAGTATTTAGAGTTATGGGATGATAAGATCTTAATGAGTTTATTTCACATGAGATGATTCTTCTTAAATTGGTTCTTATTTCTTGAAGTTTGAAGGATCATTTTGAATAATAACTAATTCGACCGTACTAAAGAGTAACATAGACGATTCTTTACTTTTTTGAATCCCACGTTATGAGAAAATTCACACCCAAAATCTCAAAAAAAATTTACATTTCAAACTTTAATAATTTGAATAATGACAGAATTTAAACCCTTTAAACATAACTATAGAGTTAATGAAATATTACCTATATCTAACTTCTTTAAGTTTTGGTTATAAGTTTTTTACGTTGAAGGAACAACCCTAAATATATATGTGTTGTTCTATACTTAATTTCCTTCGATTTAGTTATAATGCTATGAATATACGTAAAGACTAAATAAAATAGACAGTAACTAAGGAATAGAGCAATTTTTTTATCACCCTCATGTTCATATTTCTCATGAACATTTATCTAGTTGGGTAACTAGAGAAGTTCAATTTGGTTATGTTATTTCTTTTAATTATATGATGATAATGATGATTTCTAAAACTTATCATATTAACTACTTTTTTTT